AGAAACACTGATCTTTTGGCAGATTTGTTTCACAGTCAAATGAAAACAGTGCAGAACGAGTTCATATTTTAGCTGAACAAGATGTATTCTGCACACTGAGGGGGATAAATATCCTATGGTCCCTCACTCAGTTAGTTTTTCATTTATTTAAAGACTACATTAATAGAGGAAAAGCAGTACAGGTAATTGATTTCATGTAGAATTAAATATGGGAGGAAGGAAACACATTTTAAACAATAGCTGCTTCTATTCTAGAGACTATAGGAAACTGCATCAGAAATGTAAAAGAAAAAAGTGTAAAATCTGCATCATAGATTCAACAGATCCACTGCAGGAGAGATTTGGAACCTCTCGTGCTAAAACATTTCTTTTGTAGCTAAAACCAGAATAATTAAAAATATAGTACATTTTGATACGCTTTGACAGGGTTAGTGTTTCCCAAACTGATAAAAGCCAAACAAAAATGAAGACACTTGTTCACAAATAATCTGTAATGTAAAGGTGTCAAATTGGCAATTAAATAATAATTAACTCAGTTCCTCCAAACCCTCTTCTTCTTGTTTGTAGCCTTTAAAACCATATTTTTCCTTAAAAATTTTGTTTGTAGATGTATGGATTGTTTGAATTTCTTTCTTCTTTGTCTTTAAGCATTCAGAGCTTTGCTGCAGATTCGAGCAATTAGGAAGAAACTCAGTCCTCTGTCACCTAGCAGCTTTAACCCCGTCATCACTTCCCAGACCTCGGACTCAGAGGAACACTCGGTGAGACAGAACCCACGTAACAGAGAGACAGTGTTGTGATCATTTCCAGTCATCCTGAACTCAGATTCTCACCGCCCTCTTCTCCTCACAGGCATCAGAGCACATCCCTCCTGGTTACGAGGCGGTGTCTCTCTTGGAGGCCTTGAACGGCCCCCTCAACACCACCTCAGTAGCTCCTGCTCCTCTCCACTCTGGTCCCAGCCACGTCTCTGGAGCCCTTCCTCCGTATAGCAGCGAGCCTCACCCTGCCCCGGCTCGCTCCCTCTCTCCTCTGGACCACTCCAACTCCGGCCAGGCTCTTAAACTCAAGAAGAGTGGTTCAAAGTGAGCCTGCCTGTGAGGCCAGAGAGAAAACTGGTCAAAGTTGATGTTTGTTTTTTCTGCTTGGATCAGCGGGAAGGGTGGAGCTGGCTGCTTAGGACAGCATGCTTTGATCATAGGAGCATATAAAAAAAAAAACTTATGGTTGCCCCGCTCTTTCTTATGAGAAATTCTTTTTTCAGTTCAAGTCTGCTAACTGTAGCTTAATTTGTTGGACCTTGAAGTAGATTTCACAGAAAAAAAGTAAAAGATTTTTCCACACACGTTTTTACAAAATTATTAGCCTTCTCTATTTAATTTCAGTTTCTGTTCCATAATATTTTCAGCCTCCTGGTGTTATTTTCTCTGATGTACATTCGCTTTTTTGCTTGTCTTAGGTCACTTTCCCAGAATTCCTCTGTGCTTCCCGAGGAGGACGAGAAGTCTTGCAGTGAATCCGAGGCCTGTCGCCACAAACTCGCTGTGGACCAGCAGGAGGTGTGTGTGTGTTAAACATGCACAGAGAGAATATGCATTTTCACAGTGTCACATGTCTCCTACGGCTGTGGGAGTTTACGCGTTAGTTTACACATCGTGTTGTGAACGTCTCTCTCACGGCTTGCTCTTGTTGGTTTACAGTGTGGAGTAACTCCAGACAGCGAGAACCTGACTTTCTCCTCCTCTGGAGCCATCGACCAGTCATCCTGCACCGGCACCCCCCTCTCCTCCACCATTACCTCCCCAGAAGGTATACACTGACACACATGCACACACACACTAAACCTCAAAATACTCCTTTTCCTACCTTTTTATAACACCTCAAGCCTATTTTTTGTGTGACTCACACTTGCATAAGCATGATAACATGCATAATGCCTGTGACTTATGTAAATTTTGAGTTGCTCTAAAAATTGCAGCAGCTGATGTGAATCACTTCTATTTGCTAAAGGCAAAATGTGGTTTTAAAGGTTTTGTTTTATGCCTCACATTTTATATAGTTGATGCCACTGTAAGTCTTTTCATCATGCATGAAATGTGACTCTGGACTTAATTTTTATTGTGGGCCATAATTTTCCAGTGATATCAAGTAGGCTTATTATGATCTATGCCACTGTGAAAGGCTGGTATGTGCTCCTATAGAAACCACAAGTCTGATTATATCAACCATGTTTAACAAGAAAAGGTTTTTTTTGCATCGCCATGGACAAAAACTCCTCTCCATACTTTGATATTTTGACGGCTTTTTTTGTTTTTTTTGTTTTTATCATTTTTACTATGCTTAAACCTGCCAACATCAGGTCTCTTAAGAGCATAAAATCACAGTTTCGATTCAGGAACGAAGCACTGGTCCGTACCAGTAAATAGGCTGTACTGTACCACAGACATACAACACAAACTACAAAGTATATTGTAAAGTGTTATTATGCAACACTACAATACTGAAAAGGATTACATTTGAGAAGATTGAAAATCATTTGCTATTAAATCTGGGATTTGCAGTGTGAGTAGTTCCTTCACTGTTAAATGTAATTATGTAAACAGTGTGGTACCTTTGCATCCTTTTTGTTTTCATTTCCCTTCTTTTTTCAATCCAAATCAAGTCTTTTTATGGCCGCGATACACCTTGTAGTTCATTGTTTCGGTGCAGGCTGTCAAATGGATATCAAAATTCAATTCTAAAACCAGAGCTATCAAAAAAGTTGGGTGTCAATCTTGTGGGAAAGTGATGATGATGGTGGCCATCACTGTGGCTACACCCATTATGATCATTCTATAGTTTCCCCTTTAAAACCTTTTTAATCAGATGATTAAAAAAATGCATCAACTCTAATGCCAATTAATTTGTGCAACACCCAGCATGTGAGGTAATAGGAAACAAACTAGAGTTCAGCTTAATTTCTTGCGCTATTCCTGAATTACATAATACAACATAAGTTGCCCACTTAATAAGAGATTTACTTAAGTGGAAGCACACACATGATGGTCATAATCAAGACGTCAATTACAAAGTAAGTTTGCCATCACAGAAAAAGGCTGTGACGAACTATTAAACTCACTCTTGTTCTTTCACACCCGAATAAAGGTGTAAAAGTCACAAGAATTGTAGTGTTCTCATTTTTAGGGTAGCTTGTCCATAGTGTGGTGTTATTGCTATACTCTTTTTTTTCTGTTGTAACGTTTATTCAGGGTTAATTAGGTCCATCTTGTTCTAAAAGTTGGTTTCAGCTGCTCTACCCAGCCAGGAAACCCATTTTCCTCAAAATGGTGTTCAGTGTCTCAGAAATGTTGCATGAAAGCTAAATACAAGGAGCTGAAGGCAGCTTCAATGAAGGCTTTTAACATAAATAAATCAGAGGTTTACCACCTCAGCGTTTTGTGTTGGTGCCACTAGATGAAAATTTCTGGGAAATCTACAGAGCGGCCTTTTAGCAAAACCCAGAAAGCAAGGTCTATTATTCCAGCTGGAACGATTTTTGCAAGTCACTATTTACATTTTCTGCCGCTGATAATATTTGCGGACGCACGGCCTAGTTTTTTTCCAACCTGGCAGCCGAAAAACGAAAACAAACAAACACCCGAACCCCCCCAAAGCCGGACCGTGATGTGTGTCTCCGTCTGTCTGCCAGACCCAGTGAGCAGCAGCCTGGCCCAGTCAGTGATGTCCATGGCCTCGTCCCACTCGCAGCACTCCCACATCAGCACTGACACCATGTCCTCCATGTCAGGGTCCTACCTGGCCGGGGCCGAAGGTGAACCCGGGGGGGACGAGGGGGGAGATGTGGACTGCGAGGAGAACCAGGAAGCCTCCATGGAGAACCGAAGACCGTCACAGCAAGACAGGGTGAGCATGGAGGATAAACTAGCTGCACATTCATGTAGTTTTAAATAAATTGTTGTCCCATCGGGACTCAAAGCTTCCCTTTGGTTGTTTTCTTTTTCGTAGGAATTTTCCAAAGAGCCAAAGGAACAAAACTATTCAGTGGCTGTAGAGGATCAGGACTCAGAGGTGACTAACACGGTGATGAGCAGACTGCGATTATTGCTTATTTTATGAATTAAGTTGCCTATTACAACGTTTCATAACGCTCCCCCCCCTATTTTCATCAGGGAAATGATGTCACCGAAGAGGACTGCTCATCTCCATCTAATGGGAAAGGTAACTATAGTAACCATCATTCACCTTTCACCCATGGCAACTCATCTCTGTTTGCATTTGTTGTTCTCAAGCTATGAGGAAAAAAAAAAAAAGGAAATACACCCTTTCATACAAACTACATATTATAGCAAATCTGTTCGTGTCATGGCTGAGTGATACCAACCCTTTCAAAGTAATGGAGTTGTGTGTTAATAGCTGTCCTCTAGATGGGGCAGTGTCTTTCAAAATGCTTGCAATTTTGGCTGCATCTGTATGAGAGTGAATGGCTTCTCATGCAGCGTGTCTGCAAAAGGAATCTGATCTTCTGCGCAGTGATGGCTGAGCTCACAAGACCACAGGAGCCAAAATAAATTACAGATGCTTTGATCAAGCCTTCAAGATGTTACTGTTACTAATTAAATCACTTTTATAGTCAGTATGTGATATTTAAGTCTCATGCTGACATTAACAGATGTGGTGATCTAAAATTTGTTAATCCAAGTGTTAGTTAAGAAAAGGACTGTGAAGGTGTCTCAGTAAGCTTGTAGGATGCAGGCATACTTTCTAGGTATGGATGGAGGTTCCACAATGAAATTAGTCAAGTAAAGCCAACATTATGAAAATCATAACTATTAATTACACAGTCTAAGGAGCTTAGAAAGAAAGCAACTAGGAATGCATTCTTTTGAATGTGTACCATAACCCTATGAATAAACCCTATCAATAAAATGACATTTTATCAGTAATCACCGTACCTCGGTGATGATACTTCCACTTTCTGCAGTGATAAATCCATCAACGGGCTTCAAGGTATTGGTAGCAGCATCTGGGTAAATTACATCTGTATAGTCAAAGACAGTTCAGTTTCTGGATATGAGTTTTAAAAGTTAATGCTGGAAAGGTGTGAGGGTAGGAGTAAGAGTATTAGCCAACTCCACCTCAGTCCTAAGCACCAAACCAGGCCTTTTCTTGTCAGCAGCCACCCAGAGTTGTTACAGAGCTGAATGAAGCAGCACAAACTCAGTTGATTTGCTCTTACTTATTTATTCTGTTCTCCAAAGTGTCCTCATTCTGAATTAAAGGCTGGCCATTTGCAATAAGTATTCTGATCGATCAGAGCATCCTTTCACTAACAGGAAACGAGCCTCTAGAGTCATCCTTTGTTGATCAGATTCAGGTTTTGCTCCACACGGGGCTGCTGACTTGCATCTGCATGATTTGAATTTCTCTATGAATGTTTGTGTACTCGCTGTTGGCGTTAGTGTCAAATCTATGTGTTTTTACTCCCTAAGCCTTGCTGCCTGCACCTGCTTTTATAGCTTCTGTATCATGAAACATGCTCCACCTGCACTGCTCCTGGATGCCGTTTATGTGTCTGCAAGTGTGTGAAGTGCGTGTGTGTATGTATGTATGTATGAGAGAGAGAGAAGGCAAGCGCGATGGAGTGCTAAAGAAAGTGTTGTGGTGTGCACCGTGTGGGCGTCCATTACCAGTAAGGCTTGAAGCGAAAATAACAAGGTCACCTTTAATTAGACAACGGTTTGAAACGTGTATATGTAAATTACTTGTGTGTGCGCGTGGGTGTGTGTGTTGTGATATCTCGGGCCAGACTGAAACAATCTCTGCGAGTTACTGAATGACCTTTCAGTTTTTTAGGAGACGAGCGGACCTGTGCTGCCTGACAGACTGTGAATGAGCACACGCGCTGTAGGATGTATGTTTGCACGCACACTTGTGTGCATCTGCACCAGCGCTGCCAGACGGCTTCTGAATGTGCCCTGTCTGTGTCTCTGTGCTGAGCTGCCAATCATTCACTCATCACTTCCTTATTAGCACACACACTCTGCACACGAGCAGGCTTGCTGCAGGCATGAGGCACTCACACATATGATACATCTCAGTATTTATTATCTGGCCATGCTGGAAAAGGAAGAAAATCATATTCCATACAGGTCCCGTTTATTTCTTTTTAATTTATTTTTCATCTCATTTATCTGTGCTTCATGAATAAGGTAAAACACCAAAACCTCAAGTTCATTTGCTTCATATTAACTTACGATATATATATACATACATACAAAGACATTTGTATGAGAAAGACCTAAATTCCACAGAAGGAACAAAATGTTGGGCAGGCAAAGCTAAAGAAAAAAAAGCAGCAAAATATGATTTTTATTACTACTATTTTCTCATTATACGTGCTGTCATCATCACCACAGCAGCATAGTCTACTGTGAGTGCATGTGGAAATCAAATACAATGCAGTCTATGAATGAGTGCAAGAGATAGAACTGAAGATATCATCAAATTAAATGCACTACCATTTGATGTAAACCATGACTGATCAAAAGAGCATAAAAAAATCAAACAGTTCTTCCTGTAAAAATATGGAAAAATTTTTACATATAAATATGGAAAAATTGTGTATGTTTCTGTTCTGTGTCTTGTGTGCTGTTTGTTTGTATATGTGTCTTTCTTGCTGCTGTTACACCCAAATTTCCCCCCTGTGGGACAATTAAAGGATTATTCTATTCTATTGATTCCTGTTGGAATAGTGAATTTTCTGTCCGTGACAGGTCAGAATGGCAGCGTTTTGACAGTCCTGACACTGCAGTCCTGCACACTAAGCTTTGCAAGTGTCCAAACTTCTTTGTTTTATCATAGTTCCGTCACTTGTCACTTTTTTTTTCAGCAGAACATGCTCACCTTTGCTCCATGTTTTCCATCCAGTCACTGGATTATGATTTGACATATGCATTAAGCTGAAGGCCAAATAAAGAAAAAAAAGTGAACATCTTCACAAGCTTTCTTGAAACTTGATCTTAGAGACTCATATTGATCAAATGTGCAAATATTTGATCAATTATTATTCTGTTATTGCCATTCTAGCATGGCCACCTCTGACACCCTCCCCCCTCTTCCTCTTTCTCTCACCCTCCTGCCTGTCCCACCTTCTCCTCCTCCTCCTCCTCCTCCCCACATGCTGTGCCTGGCTGCTCTTGTTTGACCTTTGCCCTCGCTTGCAGGTGGGCGGAGCAGGTGTCCAGAGTTGGCCAATAACAATCAGGGCGTCGCCCTCTGTGACACGCCCTCTTTGGGGTTGGATAATGAGCAGGCTCCCAACAGCCGTTTCGCGGGTGAGTGGCAACCTCCCGAACATGGACCAATGAGAGCTGAAGACTGAGAGTGTAGGGACGGGGGATGAAGAGAGATACAGGAGGAAAGAAAACGTGAGGAGAGTTATCTGCAGAGGACTAAAGGATTTCTGATGCATTAGCTTGCTATGCTAACGTGCTAATGTGAATGGAAGCTAGGGAGAGCAGCAGTTAGGTTTTTAAACGCTGTTTGTAGATGAGGATTTGTAGCATTTTTGCCCAGCATGAAGACTAGGAGCCTTCCTTCTTCTCTTCATCCTTACCCTTTGATGTTGTGGTGCTTCATTGCTTTTTTTTTATTTCTCCAGTAGCGGTTAGCTGTCCACTCTCTCCCTCCTCCTCCCCTTTAGCTGAAGCCCCGGTGTGCGTGAGCGCGCGCGTGTGTGTTTGTGTAGCCGTGTTTGAGTGAATCTTACCGTGTGACTGACGGGTGATTTCTGCATTTGCTTTCATGAGAGTGTGTGAGAGAGAAACAATCTGGCCCTTCCCAAAAGTTGAAGTTCATGTTCAGTGTCTGCCAGCTCCGAGCCGCTTTGCCAAACATCTGCGACTCATTTTCACACCCTCCATCTTCCCTCCTGTCCTTCCCCGGCCCTCCCGTCTGCTTCGCCACACGGGGTGAGTTACTGTGATGAGAGCTAAAGGTGTCGATTTTGTTCTTGACGACCAGCGTTTGTAAATCGCAGTCAATTATTTTCTGGACTCCTGGTTGAATTTGATTCCATTTCTACTTTGTTTCACACCTTATCTTTACACTGTTTCAGCAAAAAAAAAAAGAAAAAAAAAAGCCTATAAAACTTCCCTTTCTTTGTAATTTCAACAATTTTAAAGCTGCTAATTTAACACAGACCTCTTTAAAAAGTCATCACAACCTTTGGTGTGGTATGAAAAATATTATTAAATGGCTGAAAGATAAGGATATTGTTTCATTATTGATACAAATACAAATGTGGCATATAAAAGAAACTCCATATAAAACATTTAAGGAATTCTCTCAGTTTATTTCTACTAGATATTCAAATACAAGAGTTCACCATTCAGTAAATAGACAAACTCTGGAGTGTTAGTTTACCTCGTCAGCATATATCATTTTGTGTTCAAACTTTCTTCACAGCCTCTAGCTCTCCATCATTCTCGTAGCTTTTGACCTCGTCCCCTCTCCAAACCCCGAGACTCCCTTCGTTCCCATGAACCCACTCGACCCTGTTTGCGTTTTACGGTGAATGTCGTGACATGTTTTCTATTCCTGTGTTGTAAAGGTGTTCTGTTATCTCTCTGTTTCTCTCCTTTTTACTTCCCATCATTCTTCACATCCTCTGCTGTCTTTTCCTGGACATTTTTCCTTCCTGCCCCTTTCTTCTTCTCTTCTGTCTTTTTTCCTTCTTTCGCTTTCTTTCGGATGGACAGATGAGGAGTCGTGCCCAGTGCACATTGAGGACTAGGTATGGAGATGTGGTTAGATGGTCGATCAGACTTTAAAATCTCAATTTGGGGGTTTGTAATTTATAAACTGTAGCAGTTATTTTTCTTTTGTTCTTATTTTACCTTTTGATTTCTCATTCAGCCTCATCATTAAATTGTATTTCACAATCTAATTAGGTCATCGAGTACCAAATCGATCAAAGTAAGAAGCGTTTTTTTAAGTTTTAAAAAGAAAATGCAAGTCTGCATTTTTTTTTTTTGATTTATAATTTCTTCAGGCTTGCAAAAGGTACAACTGTTTAGGAAATGTGGATCCACCGGATTGTGTTTCTGTTTATTATTCAGGTTTTCGCTGGTGACATGAAAAGTATGAATTATTTTCTTTCTTTGTGTCTGTGGCTTTATTTTTAAATAGGGAATAGCACAACATGCGTCACTGAGATCTACTGAGCATTGATTTATTATTGTTTATCTAAAAATAGAATACAGTTTTCAATATTTGAATGTTTTGGATAAATTTGATTTGAAAAGAAGAAAGAGTATCATGTCTTTGTACACACCTCAGCTATCTCTGTTCTTTTTTTATAATGGGTAATCAACTTAATGGTTATCGCTTGTTATTGCAATAAACTGTAATGTAATGAAAAAGTATTCTTAGGACGTTTATCACTTTGATCTCGGTCTAAAATATATGATAGCCACCCCCCATTTCTATGTCTTTAAAAACACTTTAGCAATAGTTCTCCAGGCTTTCTCTAAATCTTTCAAATTTTTTTATTTGGACGTCAGCTGTTTTTACTCGCTTTCTGTCTAGTCCTTGTACCTGTCATTGTATAGGGCTGCATTTCAGCCGATGGGGCGATCGTGGCTCAAAAGTTGGGAGGTTGCCTTGTAATCGGAAGGTTGCCGGTTCGAGCCCCGGCTTGGACAGTCTCGGTTGTTGTGTCCTTCGGCAAGACACTTCACCCGTTGCCTACTGGTGGTGGTCAAAGGTGGTGGCGCCAGTGTCCGGCATGTTTTCCTCGCCTCTGTCAGTGCGCCCCAGGGTGGCTGTGGCTGCAATGTAGCTTGCCATCACCAGTGTGTGAATGGGTGGGTGACTGGATGTGTAAAGCGCTTTGGGGTCCTGAGGGACTAGTAAAGCGCTATATAAATACAGGCCATTTACCATTAGTAGTGTTGGGGAACTTGTTAAAATTGATGGAATTATGAATGCAGAAAAGTACCACCTGAAAGGCATCAAAGGCACAATCTTCATTTTTACGCACGGCAAAGATAACACAAACAACCTGCCAATGCAGGAAAAGCATACCTGGATAGAAAAACACAATAATACACTATCAGTCATGATTTGGCTTCCAGAAGTTGGATCAACATTGTTACGCCAAAAGAAAAGACAGCCAACATCCAAAGACTTGTCTTTTAGGAAGCCTGGAGAGCTATTGTTGAAGACATACAAGAAAGCTGACTAAGAGAATTTAGTTCTGTGTTGAATAATACAGGTGATCATATGAAATATTAATTTCCAAGCTCATTAGAACTGCACAGACTCTGTTTTTGCCTTAAATACTGCATTTCTACATATATTTGCACGTTTCAATGAATTGCTGCACCCATTTCCCATTTTTCTAGCAAAACATAAAGAAATGTGGGAGAGTCCAAGACTTTTGCACGGTACCTTGGGTTTATTGATTTCTGCAAATAAAGTTTAACTGAAAAATTACGGTTTGTCTGTGAGTTACCTGGAAAAACGGATTCAAATCATCTTCTCGTTCTCTTCTCTCATTCAGACCTGTTGTACCTCGGGGGCTACAGGCCTGTTTTGGAGCCTCTCCCCCACCACAACTCCACCAGCAACATGAACCTGGAGGAGCAGGGGGCAGAGAGCAGGGTCCAGAGTCCCAAACATCCCTGCCGTGGACCACTCATTGTGTAACACACACGAACACACACCAATCTAAACTTACTCATCCAGTCAGCTCTTCTTAATCCTGCCACAGTGCTGCAGCGCTGGATACTGTCCTCACTGAACAGGGACTCACATCCCCATCTTTCTCAAAATTTCCTGGATGATTCTGGATTGGAGTGAGGAGGAAAGAGGAACCACACCTCTCCATTGTCTGTGCGTTTTTTTTTCCCTCACAGGAGTTTCCTTGTTTTCTTATCTGTGATCTAACTTGTTGTGGGAATGATTAGCCTACTGCTACGTTATTATTTATTACCTGTAGGTTTAATGAGAGCTGTGTATTGTGACACTATCTTTAGAAAAAATATATGCTGCTCCTCTTCTTTTTTCCCTTTCTTCCTATTACCAGCTAAACAGTCAGGGGCTACTGTGATCGGCAATCGGATTTATTACTAGCGTATTTCTCCTTCTCTGTTGTAAACTGTATGCCTGACGAGTGGTCGGACGCTTTGACGCTAAAAGTCATCTGACACCGGACTACCTTACCTTACTGAGCTAGAAAGTGCTGACCCCTCTCCTCTCATCAGGGAGCTCCTGTCTCGACTTCGCATGCAACTTTCCAAGTTTTCCTCTCATTTCCACCATGCTTTTGAAACACAACGACCTGTGCTGAATGTCAATTCAAAAGTGCAGAAGTGATCGGACTCGTATGGCGGTCGATGAGCCAAGTTACAGTGGCCAAAATGAACAGAGATCAACTGGAGGAAGGAAAAAAAGATGCCACACAGAATGTAGGACGATAATCTCATAGAAGGGGAATGTACGGGACGTCTGAAATGTCCCCTGACTGGAATCAAACACAAACTTTGACTCACACTCAAACACACCACTGGCACCGTCTCCATCTACAGCTCCATCTTAGCATGTCAGTATTATTGTAGTGCAACTTGAAATCAACAAATACCACCGAGCAATAAAGACACTGCATCTCGTCCTTTTTTTCCTGCACTAGGATGCTTGTTCGCAGTTCAAACAGTGGGAAAAAACTGTTTGCGCTGCTGGGTCATATTCAGACGTTTCATTGTGTTTGTTACTGCTTTTTTTTTTTTTTAAAAAATTAATAAATTTCAGCGTTGCCATTGTAAATGGATTTCTTGTGAGACAAGCATCAATACAGTGAAAGACTTGGCCCACACTGCTGTCTTGCATCTTGCTCATCTTCATGCTTCCCGGTTTGTACCATTCCCTCGAGCCTGTTTCTTCCTGTTTGTGACGCTTTTAGTTCGTGAGATACACTTTAATGTATATCACCTGTTGTTGACCTCTGTTTCTGTGTTTTAATTTGTTGCAGAACACTGTGTTGTTTATTAGAATGTGGATGAAAATATGTGAAAAATTTGTAAAGGTTTACACACGAATAACTGAAAAGGGACAATATCAACATTTAATGCACTATTAGCTGATTCCTAGACGACACACTTTGCGGTGCATGAGGCGACAGTAGAGTAAGCATGTTAGTCTAGGTCAGCCTGCACCCTACTGTAGACTTGATGATGGATCACTGCACATGCATAAAGACGTAACGTATCCTTCTGCAGTGTTAAATATCAGTTTCTGGAACCCTATTCTGTTGGCCGTTAAGGTCAAGACTACTGCACTACTATAACCAAGCTGCGAACAGTCACATGATCACAGTCCGAATGTGTTAATGAAGCTGTATTACAGCACCAGTCACAGTATGATATCAAAGGGATGGGTCCCATATCTGCAAGACCCCACTTTTCTAGAGTGAAAATGTCAATGAAGACTTTGAACAGACAATAAAGTTTTTGCAACTAAACAGACATTTGAGGGATTTTCTGTTGAGTTAAAATGGAAGGATTTATTAATCAGTGCTAGGTTGTGTTTTGGTTTATGTCTCTGAGCATGAACTGCTTCTCTGAGGAGAAAATCGCTCGACGCACTTATTTTACAGTCATTTTTCAGACTTTGGTATGCTTTATTTTCCCAGAAGAAAGTTCAAACTCACTAGTAGAAAATTCTTACAGCTAAATTGGAACCATTCCCACACAACAAAATTGACCTTTCCATCCATCTATTCTCTTCCTTTTATCCTTATCTGTGTTGCCCCAAATGATCTTTTCTGCTTACAAATATATACATGTGAGCGGATTTGTGTACTTTCCAACAGATGTTACCAATCAGCATAACAGTAGCCAAATGTGGCATCCCTATCAGTCCCTGTCCTAAAAAAAGAAAACAAAGTAATAATCCAAAAACAGAAAAAAGAAGAAGAATATGGTTTCATCTTTTTACTTATAACTACACAACTCAGCAGATTTTTCTGTATCTGACAGCTAACTTGTTTCCATCACTCCAAACTAAAATCAATCTTGTATTGCTAATGATCCGCCTGGTGAATTGTCCTCATTCTGTGATATGGTTTTGGTCGTCCTCCATATGACTCACACAAGGCTATATAGGGAATTCCAGGAGCTGCTAAAAATTCTTGACAAACCCTCCTTTTCACTAGGTTATGGCATGTAGTTTGAGCTGGAGAAGATTTAGACAGTCCTAGCACAGTGTCCTGTTGTAATCCAGACACATTACAGTACAGTGTTTCTCTGTGACTACCAGGTCTATAGCAACACAACTGAAAAATGCCAAAATAGCTTTAAACATGACTCTGGTCCTCTCATGGGTATAGTCTCAGTATCTATAACTACAGTTATTTGAATAGTTTCCAGATTTGTGAACAATACTCACACACAACAATAAATTGATACACTTTAGAAGTGAAAAGTAGTCAGTCACCTGTCAGATATATCTTTATCTTCCAGAAGTTCAAGAGCCATTCCCGACTATATACTGCACTATATAAGATAGATATGTGACGTAACCTGCTTATTTGTTGGCTACTGTTCTGAAGCCTATAGGGTCTGACATTTTGCCCTTTGCTCTTTTGGTGTTTTGGAAATAGATGTGACCATATTTAAAAGAGAGGATTAAGCTAAACAGTTAATACTAGTCCTAGATAGCTATCTAGTAACACACAGTAGTTATTCACAGTTTTATTAGTTTGGCAAGTAAAAACAGGCTTAAAATCAGAAGTGTTAACTTAAGAAAGGTTATTTGATCAGTTCATACTTCACAGATGGTTTGTACATCACTTTACTGTAACCCCAAAAAGGCCTGTTCAGTTTTGATTTGAAACAGGTTGCTCTAGTCACACAGAGGCAAGTCTTGAGTGTTAGTTTATTCCAAAAAAGAAGACACCGCATGCTCATATGGTTCTAGTTTGTGACTTCTTGGTCACAAGCTAGAACCATCCTGAAGAACACTTTGTGTGCCCTTTATCCACTCTGAATGAACAAAATGAACATTATTGCATTAAACAGGATTTGAAACAAGAGCGTGAGACTCTCAGCTTATTAGCAAAGTGTTAACTGAGCTCATCGATCAAACGAGAACTAGCCTAATTTTCCCATTGACTTCTTTTGAGGTTTTGCAGACAATTGTCCACCAACCACATGTTAACTTGTCCACCATTTTGGATGTGTGAAAATCCTGGTGACAATGTAGGATTAAGTGAAAAAGGTCTCAACCACACAGATCTAGAGATTGTTTCTTGACCATCTGATAACTGCTGGTTGTGAAACAAAACAATTAACAACCAGTTGCAAGTAGTGGAGGTTAAAGGTAGTTGCTATAAAAATGATTGCTAAAAGTTAGTTAAATATGTTGGCTGGGCTGTGGCACAGTTTTTAGTAAGGCAAACCTTTTCCATTGGCAGTTTTTGTTGGACTTCTTTAACCCTGGAGAACCCATGGGGTCAGAGCCGACCCCATTGGTTTTCTAGGGAAACCATGGGGTCAAATTTGACCCCATGGGTTCTCCAGGGTTAAATTGTACTACCACTTGGCTCATAGTTATGGATTATTTGCAGGCAAATTTGAAAAGGCTCCAGGCAGCTGTCACAATGCTAGCAGTCAAAGCAATCAGAGCTTTTTTGGTACAGCGCCTTCTTTGCATCTGATTTCACCCAGTGAAAACCAGCAACCTCCAGGAACTGCTGCCAACCAGTCGGGAAATACACATTTCCCCAGCAACCAATGGTTGTATCACATCTAACTCAACAACTCTTAAGCAATGTTCACATGATGTCGTGAGAAACCTCAATACCACTAGAAGACTTTTTGACAGGCAGAGGAGGGGCCCCTGGTTGCCCATCATTGAGAACTCGGGTTTAATTTGCATTGGCATACTTTTGTAACAACCCCACAGACACTGGTTAAGAGGTTAAAAGTTACGAGCTGTTATACGTTATACTTATTAATCAAGCAAAAATGAAGCTCAAACACTCAACTGTTCATTTAGATAGGTAATCTAAATAATCAGTAGCAAAGATAAACTCCAGTTTGATAACAGCCAGCCTGTTAAATCTATTAAAGTATAAAAGGCTGAATCTGGACTGTATGAGTGAAGTCACTTAACTGTACAGAAAGTCTTTTTGCCTAAATAATACATGATATTTGATGTTCAGTTGGGCACTGAGACTGGAAGACAACAGGAGTAAGTGGTTTTAATGGGGACAGTGTTCATAATGTCATTACCACATTGTTTTAGTGATCAAGTTGCGCTCTAATTGAATTCTACCTTCTCATCTGAGGTTTGCAGCTTTGTGTCTGTTACAGGAAATATCTCTTATGTAACTCAAAGACTGTGTCACCAGCAAGCTGCAAATTTGCGTTATCTCTGTCCCAAAACATATAAAACCCCTCCACCCGCCTTTACCTTAGTTTTATTTGTTATTCTTCTCGTAAACCTATAATCTTTATCTGCCTCAAGAAGTAAGTGTCATATATTCTGTATGTCCCTTTCCTCTGTAAGCCAATTACAGAATCAGAGTGCAGGGGAGGGTTTTTCTCATTTAAGGCAGCAAGCCAGGTCATTTATTGTGCCCAGCCCTCCCCTTCTCAGATTAAATGTCAGGGCAGCAGCTCTAACAGCAGGGACACATGCTCCTCTGGAAGTAGCTCAACCACACAGAGACACTCTCACAGCTGCATATACGATGTATTCAGCTTTTCTCATCCTGATCATCTTAACTGGTAAGACTTTGTGTTGTTTGGAGTGTTATTGCCATTTCAATAATGGACAGCAGAGTACTTCCCATCCTGCAGGTATCTGATTCTTTAACTTTTTACATTGTTTGTAACAGTACCTTTTCTTGGACATATCTCATAAAGGCATAATACAGATTAAGACAAATCGGGGACTGAAAAATGTTCAAATGAGAGTTAGTGTTATTATTTCCAATAAAAAAGATGAAACTTGAGATTTAAGCAAGGGAAGAAAAGGGAAACATAGGTGTACATAGGGATCTTTAATGACAATAGACAGTTTTAATTCTTTTAAATCCACATTAATCCAATTCTAGATTTAAAAATGTTATGAAACTTGAGTTTCCTGAAAACAGTATTTTGACACTACAAGGAAAATTAAATGATAAAAGCATTTCAGACAAAAAAAAAAAAATAGATTAAGAAACAAGAAGCAAACTAAGCAGCTGTGTACAATCTCTAAATTTCTCTTTTCTCCAAACAAAAGTTAAAAATGAATGGCAAAATATATTGTTTAAAATCTAAATTCCAAGAGAAATCATTTATCTGACAACTGTTTTGCTGTAGATGTGACTTCCTGTCAGAAAGTGTGCAGTTACCAGGATGTTCTGGACTATCTGAACCTGACCACAGATAACAGTGTGTTTAAACTGACGCGCCCTGTGCTGGACTACACGCGCCCCACCAAAGTAGAGCTGGACATCATCCTGTATGCCATCCTGGCTGTGGTAGGTGCAACATTACTGCATTTATGTGTAATTAATGAGCTAAATGCTACAATGAAGGTGGTCATTATTGACATCACTTTATTTTCAGATTGAGAAAACACAAACTTTTATTCCCTTTGTCTGGGCAACCCTGGTGAGTTTATTTTCTTCAGATCTACATTAGGTTAACACAAAGCACAGCTAATCTTTCTGGGATCTATATTAAAAAAAAATATGCCAACACATTTCAAAACAACATTAAACTAAAATAAATAAATATAGAAAGCACACTACAAAAATGATAATTTGACGTTCATGATAAAGTTAAGCTCCACAGATGCTGTTTTAGGACTTGTTAGATTAAGTATTGTACATTGATCTGTTTGATGCAGTCTTTGATTGGTTTATCTGCTCTATTCTGCACAAGGTGAAATAAAAACCGGTCCAATTAGGATGCAAATCATGGTCTGCCTGAGACATATACTTTGACCTTTCTGATAATCTAACCTTACTGCAGATATGGAATAATGAACGCATCTCATGGGACCCTGATCAGTTTTGTGGAATTACTCATATCACAATTCCTCGAGAAATCCTCTGGAAACCAGATGTCTTCATTTATGAGATGTGAGTCAGCAACACACATGGACATGAAGTGTAGTTTATTACAAAATCAAACACAAACAGGTTCAAAAGGAGACACTTTTATTCATTTTGTTCAAATCAAAGTGTGTCAAAAAAGTGTTTCCTGGCCTGAGAGATCAATATTTTGAATAAAATTGGATTCACATTGCAAAATAAATACTTTTGGCATGTTAAATCTTTGAAAATCACAGTGAAACGAAGGTCATAACTCTTTTTCTCATAGCTGAATTTGAAATACTTTTTATTTACAGTGAAATGTGAACAGGACTGCTGAGGGCAGCTGCTAAAACAAATCATATATAACAACCAATAAACTACGACCGCTCACCTGTCATAAGTG